CCTCACCCCATCACCGCCCCGAAGGGCTATGCCCTCTTGGTCAGTTCAACACGAGCTGATATGAAGCAAGTCCAAGCAATGCTTAAACTTGCTACCTGTGACCACCTTGGTTAACATGTCTGCGGGATTGTCATTCGTATGCACCTTCATGAGAGAAATATCACCTTCCTCTATGACGTCCCGCACAAAATGATACCTGACATTGATATGCTTGGTACGAGCATGATGAACTTGATTCTTCGCTAAGTGAATCGCACTCTGACTGTCGCACCATAAGTTCACGTTTTCCAGCTGAATCCCCAAATCATCTAGAAGACCCCACAACCACAATGCTTCCTTCACTCCCTCCGCCATGGCCATGTACTCGGCCTCTGTAGTAGAAAGTGCCATTGTAGCCTGCAACATCGATCGCCAACTAACTGGAGCTCCATGTATCCTGAATACATAACCAGTAGTAGATCGCCGTCTATCTAGATCACCCGCATAATCAGAGTCAACAAACCCATCAATCTGACATGTATCTCCACCAAAACACAGACCCGTATCTGCGGTACCTTTCAAGTACCTCAGGACCCATTTCACCGCTTCCCAGTGCGTCTTTCCCGGATTCGCCATGAATCTGCTGACCACACTAACCGCCTGTGAAATATCTGGGCGTGTACACACCATTGCGTACATCAAACTGCCAACTGCACTAGCATAAGGAACACGCTCCATGTGTGCCTTATCTTCCGCTGTAGTGGGAGATTGTTTACCTGAAAGCCTGAAGTGTGGAGCCAATGGAGTCGCCACCGACTTAGCACTTTGCATCCCGAACCTCGCAATCACCCGCTCTATATAGCCCTTCTGACTCAAGAACAATCATAGATTCGCTCGCTCTCTTCTAATCTCCATACCCAGTATTTTTCTAGCAGCGCCCATGTCCTTCATCTCGAACTCTTTACTAAGTTGAGATTTTAACCTATCTATCTCCACCCTGCTCTTCGAAGCAATAAGCATGTCATCCACATACAAAAGGAGATAGATATAATCACCTCCACAAAGCTTCCGAATGTAAACACAACAATCATAGTCGCTTCGGGAAAACCCATGATTTAGCATGAAGGAGTCAAATCGCTTGTACCACTGCTGAGGATGTTGCTTTAGTCCATAGAGTGACTTCCTCAAGCGACATACATGATGCTCCTTATCCTCAACCTTGTAGCCCTCAGGTTGATGCATGTAGATCTCTTCATCCAAGTCTCCGTACAAGAAGGCTGTTTTAACATCGAGTTGTTCCAGCTCAAGATCACCATGAGCAACAATACTCAATAGCACCCGAATAGAAGTGTGTTTCACCACCGGAGAAAATATCTCATTGTAATCCACACCCTCTCTTTGTGCAAACCCTTTAGCCACTAGCCTCGCCTTGTACCTTGTACCACCGAGCTCTGAAGGATCTTCCTTTCTCTTATACACCCACTTACAACCAATACATTTTCTTCCTACGGACAATGGGACCACCTCCCATGTTTGGTTCTTCCGGAGAGATTCCATCTCCTCCTCCATCGCAGCCAACCAACTCTCACTATCTCTATCTCGAATAGCTTCCTTGAAGGAGACCGGCTCATATTCCTCCACCGAGAGTGCGTACTCAACCAAATTAACTTGCCCATAGTGCTTCAGGGGTTGATCAGCCCCTAGCTTTTGTACCTGCTTGTATGCTTGCTTTGGCCTAGTGGAAGCCAAAGTATCCTCGAGCTGCTGTTGTTGTAGTGCCTGTGTATTCTCTTGCTGAACCTCCTCCTGCTCAAGCTCATCATCTACCTGATTTCCCACTTGAACATGACTAGAACCTGGTTGGTCTTTAGGTTCTATCTCAATAACCTGGGACTTTGAAGTCCCAACAGTCCCAACACCATCATCCTTGGGTGCGCTAGCAATCATGGATTTTTCATCAAAGGTAACATCCCTGCTGATCACGAACTTCTAATCTTCTGTACACCAAAGGCGGTAGCCTTTTACGCCCTTTGCATACCCCAAGAATATCGCCTTCTTGGCCCTCGCGTCAAGCTTTCCCTCGTTAACATGATAATAGGCGGTACATCCGAGAATTCTGAGCCTCTCATAATCCGCATGTTCCCCTGACCACACCCTATAGGGTGTATCACCATCCAATGTCGAATGTGGAGAACGGTTCACAATGTAACATGCTGTAGCCACCGCTTCTGCCCACCATTCGTTGCCCAATCCAGCATAAGATCGTATACTCATTGCCTTCTCCCGCAATGTTCGGTTCAGTCTCTCAGCGACCCCGTTCTGCTGTGGTGTTGACCTGACTGTCCAGTGTCGAACAATACCCTCTTGATCACAGAACTTCTTGAAAACACCATCTGTATACTCTGTACCATTATCAGATCTCAGTGTCTTCAATTTCTTGCCTGTCCTGTTCTCAACCATTGCTTTCCACTTCTTGAATGTCTCGAATACCTCATTTTTATGCTTAAGAAAATAAATCCAAGCATACCTAGAATAATCGTCTATGAACGAGACAAAATACCTGGAACCACCCTTGGAAGTTGTCTGAGCCGGACCCCAAACATCCGTGTGCACATAATCTAGTATACCTCTGCTCTTATGATTGCTTTTCAAGAATTAGACCCTGTGCGTCTTTCCATACACACAATCCTCACAAAAATCGATGCAAGGTTTCTTCAGATTCTTCAGCAAACCCTCCTTACCAAGCAGAACTAGACCCTTCTCTGACATGTGCCCAAGCCGCCTATGCCATAACCGGGTGTGCTCACATGGGTCTCCACCACTTCCATCAGTTCCAACCGCTGCATCTCCTGTCACCGTCGTACCCGAGAGAGTATATAGATTACCGTGACGTACACCCTTCATCACTGTTAGGGAACCTCGAACAACCTTCTTCACTCCGTTCTCTGTAACAATCTTGTAGCCACCAGAGTCCAATGCACCCACTGAGATAAGATTCTTCCGCAAGTCGGGAATGTGCCGCACGTCCGTTAGAGTTTGAATCACTCCATCATGCATCTTGATTTTGATATCACCTAGCCCCACCGTTTTACAAGCATGGTTGTTCCCCATCAATACGGTTCCACCATCAATGCTCCTGTAGGTAGTAAACCACTTCCTATTTGGACACATATGGTAAGAGCAACCAGAATTAAGAATCCACTTCCCGGAGGTATCCTCGCTACCCGTAACAACATAGCATTCTTTCTCGCTCCCTTCCTCCGATGCGTAACTCGCCTCTTCCTTGCCTTCTCTTCTCTCGGTCTTGATGTTGTTCTTTTTCCCACCTACTCTCTTGTTAGGACAGTCGACCTTGAAATGCCAAACTTCACCGCATTTGAAGCACGCTCGTCCCGCAAGGGGTCTCGATTTAGATCTAGACTTTCCTCCCTTGCCTTTTCCTCGCTCATTGCTCCTTCCTCTAGCAAACAATCCCTACGCTTATTCTTTGTTACCACCAGTAGTCATGTCACTGGTTGCAATCTTCCGAAGGTCATCCGCTAGAAGCGCCGTTCTAGTCTCATCCATCGTCAAATTATCTCCCACAAGCATCAGTGTTTGCACCAGGTTCTCATAAGACTTCGGTAGAGATAGAAGTAGTAGAAGCGCCTGATCCTCATCTTCTACAGTCACATCGATGTCCTTCAGGTCCGATATAATCCTATCAAACTTGTTGATGTATTCCCGGATTAATGAGCCCTCCTCCATCTTGCAAGTATACATTTGGATTTCAAATAAATCCGGTTCGTTAGACTCTTCGTCATGAAGGTGCTTTCTAACTTCGACCACACGCCCGCAGCCGTTTCCTCACCATCTACCAAGAAAGCTACATCCCTTTCAAGGCAAAGGATAATCGACGCCCGTGCTTCCAGATCCTGCTCTTCCCAATCCTCATCCGACATATCCTTGTGCTTCTTCTCTTTTCCCGCCAAAGCTTTGTGCAATTTCTGCGAAATCAAAGAGTTCTTCATCTGCATCCTCCAATAAGAAAAATCATTCTTCCCATTGAATTTTTCAATCTCGTATTTTCCCACTTTAACTGTTTTACTTGTTGACGCCATTCTCCGCTTGTACTAATAAACCGCTTCTCTCAGAAAAATTACCGAGCACCACCTCAAATCAGAAGCTACACCACTCCCAATCTGAATAACAGCTCTGATACCAATTGTTGGGCGCAGAGTCACGCCCACCGTCGCGGAAGCGATATCACCTGAGAGATAGCCCTGGCTTTTGTTGTCACAAAAACACGAGTCAACCTCTATATTCTTGTTTCTCAAAGGAAACGAGAATAGATAGTGAAATTCTTATTTCTCAAAGGAAACAAGAATCGAAAGTGATATATTTCATCAAAGTGAAATATACACTCTTCCTCTCATCAGCTCTAAGACCGAATATTGAGGGAACCTACAAGCAATAGCCAACAACCAGAAATAATAAATACACGAGATTTACGTGGTTCGGCAAAATTGCCTACGTCCACGGGAGGGGTGAGGGGAGATTCCACTATGAGAAGAACACTGACGACTTGTACAACCCACAAGTTCGTCTCAAAGAAAAAAAAGATCTATTTTTCACCCAAAAAAAATAAACCTCTCTTTTGTAAAATCTCTCTTTTATCTCTCCTCTCAAATCTGAAAAACTCTCTAAAACAGCCGCCCAAAATACCCTCAAAACAGCCGCTGTTTCTTTTATTTTTCCGTTGTTTTTCACTGCTGCTTTGCCTCTGCGATTTTCCCCACAACCACAAAACCTAGAGAGAGACCAGATATATATAGGAAAGGACTTGGGCATTGGCTTTTACCCGCAGGATGTTATCTCTTTTCCCGTGAAAAGATAAGCTCAGCTTTTACCCGCTGAACAAAGAACAAGCACATAGCTCCTTATCTCCTCACACGGCTTTTACCCGCTGTTTTGATTTTCCTCTTACCCATTCACATAGATGCCAGGTTGTCCCCATGTGCCCCACGCGTTCACAATAACAATATTATCAAGGAGCATGGTTCATTAATTAATTAACTTCGTGTAAAAAAGAGAAACAAGTAGAATTTAAAAAGATTGCAGCCACATTTAATTTGGAACAAATCGTAAGTTTAATCAGATGTTGTTTGCAAGAAGTACTTCCTTGATCATCCTCTCAAAGTTCACAGAAGAACTTCCGTCCTTCTCCGCTGCCTTCACTCCTTTCTCTTTCAACTCCATTACCCTCCTCCTCAGCTCCTTCCCCTTCTCACCCCCCATCAACTCCCTTATCAACCCCTCAACCTCCTTTCTTTTCACGTCACCATCAATCTCCATCCCGATATCCCACTCGGCACAAACATATCGGCAATTTGTCTGTTGTTCGGCAAAGAACGGCCAACATATCATTGGCACGCCAGCGCAAATGCTCTCTAGCGTCGAATTCCATCCACTATGCGTCAAGAATCCTCCAATCGCAGGGTGCGATAGCACCGCCTCCTGGTCACACCAATTCACTAATAGGCTCCGGCCGTTCGTCTCGACCAAGAAATCTCGAGGCAAAACAGCATCCTCACCCTTAACTAAGTCGGGCCGGATCACCCACAAGAAATCATACCCGCTTTTTGCCAATCCCCAAGCGAATTCTACCAGCTGTTCAGTAGACATGACGGTTATACTCCCAAAATTGACGTACACAATGGATCCAGGCCTTTTGCTGTCAAGCCAACCGGTGCAAGTAGTGTCTTGCTTCCAAAGGCTGGAGGTTAAGGATCTGACAGGGCTATTGGCTGGCAATTGGTTAGCTAGTAGGAAGAGAGGACCAATTGTGTAGACTGGAGGGACGATTGATGCCATTTCCTCGAGAACCGGGCGTTCTAGCTCGTCGAAAGTGTTGAGGAGGATTGCGGTGGCTCTCGCCGCCCTGCTAGTTTCGCGGACCACGAATCTCAGCATCACGTCGTCCGGGTCAGTTGTCCTGATGAAGCTCGGGAAATCCTTGAGGCGAAGTTTGTTCATCCGCGGGATGCAATCGACGGGAGTGTCGAGATATCCGTTGGTCACATCAGCCATGTCTGCGCACACAGCAAACCGTGTAAATAGTCAACACATGTTATCTCCTAAAGATTACTTACCAGATATCTACAATCAATGTTTATATAACAAATATATATTGAAGTACTATTGTGGTATCGAAGTAGTGGAGTACAAAATTTAGAGTCGGAGTACCCCTGAGAGGTGCGAGGCCCCTAGCCACAAGTTCATGATAGTGGAGATACGCCATAAAACCACAGGCGCTGGTTGTCCAAAACAAGACCTCAGGCACGCCGAGCTCCTCAGCAGCGTCAAGAGTGAAGCTCATAACGCCATCTGATACTATACAAGACACGGGCGGGGAATTACTGTTCAGCTTCCTCAACAACTGCCGAAAAGGTTCGAGGCAATTTCTAGTTGTTGAATCGCAAAGCGCGGGAATGTCTTGAGTGGCCTCGACGTCCGATGGGGGTAAGCCGTCGGGGATGGTCTCGAACCGGAAGCCGTCGACGCCCTTGACAACGCCCGGGCCCCACGACCGGACTAGGCGACGGTGGTTGTACTCGGTGTTGACGAAGGTTACGTGGAAGCCTTTGGCGTGGAGGAGCTTGCCCAGCCTTAGCATAGGATTTATGTGGCCTTGGGCTGGATAAGGGACTAAAACAGCATGGGGCTTCTCTATGGTAATGGAACCCATTTTAGTTTTAGTTTTCTTTCCCTCCCCACCTCCCTTGTGTTTCTTTGGGTTTTTGTTTATGAGGTCTCGAAAGAGCGACGGAGTTGGAGTTGCTTATATAGAGAAATGGAAGGAGAAAAGGCCAATTAGATGTCTCAACTTTGATTAGGTTGAGTGATGAAGAAATGCAGCGTATCAAGTTGATGACTTTTTTAATTATTTTTTTGGGGATTAGGCCAATAAAGCTGCAGCAATTTGTCGACGGAGCGATGTGAACGGCTGCTGTTATACATTGCTTTTTTTTTGAAGTTTTGTTTACTGTTTTTAGCTCAGAACAAAATTTATTTTGGTTTGGTGGAAGATGAGATATGTGGATACCGCAAATAACCTCTAAGATATGAATTGAATTTGGCTCCTCTCCACTAAAAAAATAATGGAGAGACCACTATTTTTAATTTCAATTATTGATTATTTAGTAGACAGTTATGATACAATTTAAATTTAACACTCATCATAGCCCTGTGTATTACACTCATTTCTAATTTATACTCAAAGAAAAAAATCACAATCATCAATAAGATAACTAATGGTTGTAATTATCTAATGATCCATCCACTACTTTTTAGAAAGCGGAGAGGATCCGAACCCCTAAGATATAATATCAGATTTGGCAAGTTGTAAATATAATATTTATTTATATACGTGACTGGCTGGCTAATTTATAATAACATTAGATTTCAGTTTGGAACATGATTTGCCTGCACATGCATCCAATCTAAAACATCATGTACCGGTTGTCAAGTACCAAGTTTTTATCAAACTAGGTTAAGAATTCTCTCTATCCCTTTTCTCCTTGCTTCTCGCCTTAGGACCCGTTTGGATGATGGAAGTATTGGAAGTAAGAAGTAGGTTACAGAAAAAACTTTTAAAACTATGAAATAGGAAGTAGCAGAAATAGCATTTTTATTATTTCATATATTTTTAGAAGTAATGGAAGTAGAACTTCTTTCGTTTCATTTACTTTTTTTGTATGGATAATATTTAAAAATATTACTATGAAGTAATTAATACATGTTGCTTCCATTTTAAGGCCCATTTGGATAGTTGGAAGTATTAGAATAAGAGGTAGATCTAAGAAGTAACTTCTAAAAGAGCTTTGCTATAGGGATCCAAAATATAGGATCAACAGGGGGACAGGTGAGGTTTCCCCCTCCTATTGCATAATGAGCTGGTCATCTTTATTGATGACCAGCTCATTATGCAATAGGAAGGGGACACTTCACATGTCCCCCCTGGTAGTCTCATATTTTGGGTCCTTGGGGAATTTTTTTCTTCTAAAATTATAAAGTTTATCATCTCAAATTATACTATAGAGAAAAAACCTGAGAAGAATACTAAACTTGTTGCTAATGTATCTCAAATTATTCTACAAGAAAAAAAAATCCGTGCATACATATCAAGGACCATATTAGAACATATGATCAATCATATAGGAATGGGAACTAAAAAATTAGCTCAAAAAATGTTGGGATATACAAAACAAAACCAATTTCATGTCATGCTTTGTATCTATATGCAACTCATGTTCACATGTATAAAAGAGGGCCCCATGGGATTGGATTATGAAGACCTTGAATCTAAAATTGACCGGCAACTTTTTATAATGCCGAGATATTGCATATCGAGACAGAGGAGAAGTTATTAGAACTCTAATTTTACGTATGTTACAAATCTTCACATGGAGCCCGCAAGTATTCTTTTATCTACTTCAGGCCTATTTCAGAGTCTTGAGGGGTGGAAAAGAATCTAGGAAATGGAGATGTCACAGACACACCACATCATCATTTAAGGAAGTAGCGTAAGTAGATTTTCAAGAGAAACAAATATATATTTTTGCCTATAAGTAGCAGAAGTAGCATCTACTTCCTTTGCTTCTGCTATTTTATAGTTACTTCCATGCAAACAAACAGGCCCTTAACCGGCGTGGTCGATGTTATCTACTATCTTTTTTAGCTTAAGGGTGTGTTTGGCAAATCTAAAATAAGAGTGAGTTTGAACTAATTTTTGCTTAACTAGAATAGAGCTGGATCACATAGGAGGTCATTTGAAAAAAGAGTTAGTTTAGAGGCTAAAATTTAAACTATGGAAAACTAGTTCTATTGTGGAGTTGCTCAACATGCCCTAAAAGGTAAAACTTTAGATTTTCTATTCATGCTACAATAACTGCTATTTATGTTATAGTGTCCCTATTTATGCTATCATATACTTCATAATATTAAACCCTCTCTTCAAGCGAATTTTGAATCTTAGATGTTGTCACTATATATTTTCAAACTTAATGACACTTTAAACACTACAGTGAAATTTTTGTTCCTTTGTCACAGTGTACAAGCTAGAGTAAAAGGATTTTGAACCTTTAAAACAGTATTCATATATATTTCTTTCTGTTCTTGCATATGATAATTTGAACCTTTATCAGACCTTTCACATACATAATCTTTTCTAGCTCTATTGAAGAAAATTAATAAAACTTGTTAATTGATTTATTAGTTGAAGAATTAGCAAACAACTGAGAAAACAACCCAAAAATTTAGACAGGCAGACTGGCGGTCGATCGTGAGTCAGTGCGGTCGACCACGAACATGCACAAGGGTCAGGAAGAGTTGGGAGCTGAAGGTGGTCTACCGTCACGATCGACCGTGTGGACCCTGTAGGATTTTTGGGCTCTGTCGTTTAGTTTGGTCAACTATCATGGTCGACCGTGAGTTTCCTGTAGCCGATTTGTTCTTTGTCGGGGGTGTTCGGTCGACCGTCGCGGTCGAACCACCGCGATCGACCATGATACCTGCGCGATCGACCGTCGCGGTCGACCGTAGGCTGTTTGGGCTGGGCTTTGGGTTTTCAACCCAGTTTGTTTTAGAGCTGATATATAACTCTAATCCTGATTAGTTAGGATTAAGCAATGACGATTTTGAACAGTCTTTTGGAGAGGATTGTTGCATCCAATTATGAGAGATTTGTGAGAGATCTAGAGCTTTGTTTTAGGATTTGATCGGTGAGATTTGTAACTCTATTTGTATTCTCTTGATTTCTAATAGTAAGAACTCCCCCCTCCTTGTCCCGTGGACGTAGGTAACTTACCGAACCACGTAAATAGTTTGTTCTTGCTGTGATTGTGATTTGCTTAGTGGTTATGATTTATCTCAAGTTATTATTCGTGTCGCTTCGAGAACTTCCGCCGCACACAACAATTAGTATCAGAGCTTCAGGCTTGTTCGAAGGATTCGGTGAAGATTCCTATCTGAAGAGTTAGATCGAAAACATGAGAGAAGCAAGCATATCAGGTTTGTCACTTACGAAGGTGATACAGAGTCTGAGAATCAATAACACGGAGATTAATGTTCCGAAGTTCGATAATAAGATCAATTTTGGATTGTGGAGGTGTCAGGTGATGGACGCCTTAGATGCACAGAATTTGCAGGAGACTCTTGAGTTAAAAGAGAAACCCGCTGATATAGAGGATAATGTTTGTAGGAAGATGAACATTAGAGCTTGTGATGTTATTAGGTCATGCTTGATGCCGGATCTTATTTATGATGTTATGAACGAGACGTCAGCAAAAAAGATGTGGGAAACACTCAATGAGAAGTATCTTATGAAGAGCATTGAGAATCGGCTTTACTTGAAGAAGAGATTTTACCAGTTCAAGATGAAAAAGGGAGTTTCCATCAGGGAGCATATCAACAATTTTACGAAGCTACTTTCAGATATGACCAATGTGCACATCATAGTTGAGGATGAAGACAATGCGATGTTACTTTTGTGTTCGTTGCCCGAGGATGATTATGGTACGTTTGTTCCAACTATGATCAATGGAAGAACTACAGTTAGCTATAAGGAGGTGACCTCAGCATTGGTGAATTATGAGTTGAGGAAGAGTGATGGTGAATCCTCCGAGAAGGTATCGGGAGATGCATTAGCTGTTCGAGGCCGTGATCCAAACCTCTACCAGTTCAACCGCTCAAAGTCAAAGAATAGGAGTGCCTATAAGAGTATTGGTAGAAATCAATGTCGGTATTGTAAAGAAGAAGGACATTGGAAGATTAACTGCCCAAAGTGGAAAGAAAAAACCGGGAAGAACAAAGGGAAAGTTGCACATGCTTCAGAAGTGAATGTTGCAAAAGCTATTGGTGAGCATTCAGATTCAGATTCTTTGGGCTACTCGTGTCCTGCACTACCGTCGGTTTGTGTGCTGATTTCACGGAGTGGATGATGGATTCGGAAGCTACATATCACATATTCCTAGGAGGGATTGGTTCTCTAGCTTTGAGAAGCTTGAAAGAGGGGATGTCGTGCTTATGGGTAATGACCACGTATGCCCTATTGGTGATATTGGTTCAGTCTGGATTAGGATGCATGACGGAGTGATTATGGAGTTGAAGAAAGTGAGGTGTGTGCTGCAGTTGACGAAGAACATCATTTCTCTTAGGACTTTGGAGGCAGCTGGATATAGAGTGATCTTAGAGGATGCTACAGTGAAGGTCACGAAGGGTTCTATGGTGGTGATGCGGGGTGTCAGGGAAAATAACCTATACTACTTGAAGGGAAAAATAGTTACAGGGGGTTTGGCAGTTTCTATCACTACAGAGGAGGACACTACCACTTTATGGCACATGAGACTTAGACACACAGGTGATAAGTCCCTACAGTCATTGGCGAAACAGGGGCACTATTGAAAGGTGCTAAGACCTGTAAGATGAATCTGTGTGAGCATTGCGTACTCGGGAAGAAGACTAGAGTAAAGTTTGGCACCGCTATTCACAACACTCAAGGCACATTAGATTACATTCACACAGATGTTTGAGGTCCTTCCAAGAACACATCTCTTAGTGGGGCCAGCTATTTTGTCACTTTCATTGATGACTATTCCTGGAAGAATTGGGTATACCATATGAAACATAAACATCAGGTCCTAGATATTTTTGTGGAGTGGAAAAAGAAAGTGGAGCTGTAGACAGGTAGAAAGGTGAAGACTCTACGTTCAGATAATGGTGGAGAGTACAAGAGTGATCCATTTTTGTAGTTTTGCCAGGATCACGACATTAGAAGACACTTCATAGTTTGAGAGATACCTGTTTGCGTCAGGAACAAGTTCTATTGTAGAATTCATTATAACTGTTTATCGATTACAATGAATACAAAAGAGTAAGCTTCGTACTTTGTAAAACTACTCTTTACAATAAAAATAAAAT